TAAAGACAGTATCAACTATTTGTAAGTGAATGTGTGCTGCTAAGGTACTTGAGGGTGGATAAGAAGAGTCTGTTTCCTTTGTGTGGCTGGGGATGCAACTAGACAGGCAGTGGGGGAGCTAGATAATGGGGAGCTAATTCTTTAAGCTCCTGAGACTAGTGCTACTCTTTTCAATGGGAATCTTTTCAAAATGCATCAAGCATCTTGCAGAGGAAACCTTCCTCGACTCAGGCATTGTTGTGAACACTGGTGACTGGCCTGGACTGGAATGACATGATGCCCTCCAGGTTGTTCAGAAAAGGGCGGCTGATTGTCCATGGCCTGTGTGGGTTCTCCTGTCCCCAGTACCTACTCCGTACTGGTGCCTCTTCTCCCTTTCATTTAAAAAAAAATCTCTTCAATCCTGTCTCCCATGATAGCAGGACATGCCTGGAAAGCCATCACCGGCCAACTGGTTCTCATCCATAATGTGCCCAGTAGCATAAAATGGTCCCCACTCCCCTGGCAAGTGCATGCTCGGGCCCAGCCCCAGTGCCATGTCAGAAAGACCTTCCACAGCAGCACCATTTCTCTGGGCTTCTCTGAGAGCCGCCACAGGGGGTCTCGCATATTCCTGAGCGCCCCAGTGCTCAGGTGCAAGATCCCTGAGACAGGCCACATCATAGAGCTGATTGCTGGGACCTCAGCTTTGGCCCCCAGGGTAGAGTAGCTGGGAAAGCCTCAACAACTGCTTGTTGTATTACTGAAAACACAGAGTGCCTTCTTTACTTTCTCTTTTTTTTTAAATTTTGGTATCATTAATCTACAATTACATGAGCAACATTATGGTTACTAGACCCCCCGCATCATCAAGTCCCCCCTACACACCCCATTACAGTCAGTGTCCATCAGTGTAGTAAGATGCTATAAGAGTCACTACTTGTCTTCTCTGTGTTGTACAGCCCTCCCCATGCCCCCCATTATACATGCTAATCATAATACCCCCTTTCTTTGTCCCCCCCCTTATCACTCCCTGGGTTGTAATGAAATGATAATACTTCAAATCTTTCAGATTGACTGAATGAACCATTAAGTCTTCCTATAGATACAGGCTTCCCTCTGTCTTCAACTGTGGAAAACACCCAAGCATAAGATGTTTCTGTGTCAAAACCAGGAACAGTAAGTATCACTCACTACACCTAAGTGAGGGGTGCCTGGGGACTCGGGGTAGAAGTTAGGAGTGCTGGCATTAGAGCTAAAGTGTCAATTGTGTTCCCACTTTTGCTCTTTCTAGCTGTGTGACTTTGGGCCAGTAACTTAACCTCTCTGCTCCCAATTCCTCATGTGTAAACTGAGAGTAATAAAATATCTGTTAGTACATGAGCTAGCACATTTGGGGCACCGATGGCAGAGTGCTCAATAAATTAGTTCCTATTATACTTTGTTACAGATAGCCATAGCAAGCAAGGCCAAGGACATTTCTGACTTTACAAAGCCTTTAATTGCTCTTGGCATATTTTTAGATTCTACTTTGTTCCACAAAGGTGGGTTCCTAGCCAGGCATTTTCACACCTTCCCCCAGACTACTTTTACTTGAAACAATATAAATGTCATTTCAGTTTCTTTTTTTTTTTTTTTGGCCTGAGAGAACGGTTGATCACTTGGCCATCAGCAGGAAAATGGACTAGTTAGAAAAGGAGACAAATAGACATAAGCTGAGAGAAAAAAAACTTCAAAGTCAAAACTGGCCACAGAATCAAAGTGGTACATGTGATGAAACTTCACTCTGCTTTGGAGTCCTTATCTGTAAGGACATGACTCGGTTGTCTCTGTCATGGAGATTGATGATGTTAATGCACCTGCCCAGTACCTGCAAGTAGGAAGTACGAGGTGCATATGGGGCTACATTCCCATCCTTTCCTGCAGTGGATGGCAGGGTAGGCATGGGGCTCTAAAGGGGCCACCAGGGACACGCCCTGCCCAAAGGCCCCAGCACAGTCCAAGGGCCCATTGAAGGCCGTGCTCGCAGGACAGCTTCCCATGGGTCTGTGCAGCGCCAAAAGCCTGCAACCTGATGGACAGTGTCGTGCGGCCTTCCTCTGAGGTTAACATCCAGAGCTGTACTCCCCTTTATCAAATATGTGTTATAAATATATGACATCCTAGAGCTGAACAAACCTCTATTTTAATTAGAAATACAAACTCGCTTTGCAAGACATAAGAACAGTGTCTTTTTTCAATAGGAGAGCTTCCTGGAGTGCCCTTTAAAGGCGATCTAGCATGGGAGCAATCTTGCAGGAACACAGCTACCAGATACACTGGAGACAACTGTAATTGAAGTAACTCCAGAAAAAGTGTTTCTGAGGTAAGGGTGGAAAAGGAATCCTTGCTCATCGTGTGTAAGACCTGCCAAACACTCTGTCCTGGAAAGGAGCCTTTGTAGCAAGGGCATTTCCAAAAACTCATAACAGCCATTGCCTCTCTGTGGAGAAACGACCCACTATCCACTCCGTCTGAGCGGGGGGACCATGCCCTTTAATGGCAGCACTAAACACCAATCACCAGGCATTCCCGCACAGAGTGGTCCCCACACAGCCACCTGCCTGGTGGCCTTGGTCCTCTGGAGGAAGCTAGTCTGTGAGCATCGTACGAGGTCTGTGGGAAGGGTCGGACTGAAAGTCCTCCAGGGCCCAAGTTCTCAGGAAGACGCCTCCTCACCCTTTAATAACAAAACTTCCAGCAAAGGCCCCGAACACAGGCTGGCAAGCCCAGGCCTCTCCAGCCTCCCTTACAGGCCAAACCCAAGCTGGGGGACCACACGTGCAGACTGTAAGGAGCTGAAGTGATGACCCCAACGTTTGTGGGGACGAGAAAAACAGCAGGGAAGGGGTGGTCACATCTTGGAATGCAACAGAGGGAAGGGCAGAAGGCGTGGCCCCGGAGAGAGCTGGGGGAGTGAGGATGGGGCGGCTGGGATCCTGGGGCCCAGACTCCAGCCACTGCCCTCGAGGGAGGGGGGCAGAGAAGTGACCCACCCAGTGTACCAGTGGCACAGGTCACTCTGCTAGACGCCTGGTCTTGACCCTGGCTGCACCTGAACAGCCACGGGAGCTGTTAAACCTGGGAGCAGGCCTGGGCCCCAGAGATCCCCCTGCCACACGCCAGCGATGCCTGGGTGCCTCCTCACCCTTTAGTAACAGAAAACTTCCAGCAAAAGCCCCGAACACAGGCTGGCAAGCCCAGGCCTCTCCAGCCTCCCTTACAGGCCAAACCCAAGCTGGGGGACACCACACGTGCAGACTGTACAGAGCTGAAGTGACGACCCCAACGTTTGTGGGGATGAGAAAAACAGCAGGGAAGGGGTGGTCACATCTTGGAATGCAACAGAGGGAAGGGCAGAAGGCGTGGCCCTGGAGAGAGCTGGGGGAGTGAGGATGGGGTGGCTGGGATCCTGGGGCCCAGACTCCAGCCACTGCCCTCGAAGGAGGGGGGCAGACAAGGGACGCACCCAGTGTACCAGTGGCACAGGTCACTCTGCTAGATGCCTGGTCTTGACCCTGGCTGCACCTGAACAGCCACGGGAGCTGTTAAACCTGGGAGCAGGCCTGGGCCCCAGAGATCCCCCTGCCACACGCCAGCGATGCCTGGGTGCCGGGCTTCCAAGGGTCCAGGACATCGGCACGGGCCTCAGGCTGAGGCGCAGGGCTCTGTACTCCACACAGGGTGGGTCCTACCATCGCGACACTGAATTCTTCCTGCAGCTGGGCGGACTCCTGGTACCAACACGGCTGATGTGCAGCTGAAGCGAACAGGCCACTCTGTGGGGCAGGCAGAAGGGGATGTGGGAGGACCCTAAATGCAACCTTCAGGGTCCCGGCGTGCTCTGTCCCCAAGACAGATCTGAGGGGACATTCTCCCAGAACAACCTGGGGCCCTCCATTTATTCAGCCAGCCGTGCCTCCGATCCCTCGGGCAGCTTGACAAAGCCGCGCTTTCCCTCCCCATTACATTGGTCCTAGTCAGGGTGTTGAAGGCTTAATTCTCCAGAAGAGTCCGGAAGGGCACAGCGTTTCCACACTTACAGAGGGGCCCAGGTTTCAGGGTCTGGGAAATCCTTCCCTGAACACAGAGCAGAAGACATCCCACGGGAAGCACGTGCTTGCCGTGACGCGAGCTATCGCACCCACCTTGCCAAATTTGGCTGCCTACAGCCGGGCAAAGGGTGGATGGACTGCAAGGCGAAAGCAGAGGGAAGATCGTTTCTAGAGCCTGGACGGCCACGGGAGGTTAGCACGGCGGGATATTCTCTGCACTGAAAACATACACACCAGACAGTGAGAAACCAGTGCTTCTGAGTGCCCCGTGTGTCTCACACACCAAAGCGACACTAACTGTAAGCCCCGCTCCAGCCACTTGAGCGTCATCCGAGCGCCTCAGCTCACGCCCTTCGGCTGTAAGGAGCTGCTAGACACTCTGCTCGGGAGCCAAAGCAGGAAGCGCATCTGGGCTCAGAGGCCTGGAGCCGCAGCTCCCGGGGCAGAGTGGCTGAGGGGTCAGCTACTGAAGGAGATTCGGCCACAACCCCGAGCCTCTGAGGCTCGTCCACCAGCCAAGCGGGGAGGCTGTGGCATAGAGGCAGCATGGCTTCTGGCCCCCAGGGCACAGAGCGGCCAGAATGCCAGTGAGATGTACGAAGTCAGGTGGGACGAGCTATGCAGACACCGGCGCTTTCTGGCTCATCACGTTCCTGTCCCCAGTAACGTCCAAGCCACAAAACCGTGCACAGAGTGTACTGTTTCACTTCCCCCTGCTCCCCTGGCGTCCTGATTAAGGCCCCTACAAGGGACCAGTCGTTTGCTCCTAGGAATCTGTCCACCCACAGAATGACGGCAAGCGTTAACACTCAAGTACTTGGACATAAAACCCCAGACTTTAACTAGACTGCTGCTTTCTCAACTCTAACAAACTCATACGTTGATATGCTGCTGCTGTGCTGAAGGCAAGTAAAGTCAAATCTGAGGTTTACACTAATTGTTGTGCTTATTCAACTTTATTGTCTTTTAAAATCTGAGAACTGTAAAACGTATTATCCATACAAGCACCTGAGGTCTGTTCAGCTGGACACAGTATCTTCACACAAACATTTGACAAAAAGCCCAAGTTTAAATTAGAATCTTGTCTTATAAGGAATAACACAAATGAGTATGATAAAACGTAACATAAATGAAACCACTCTTTATGCCCAGTAAATAGTTGCATTTGCTTATGAAGCACACGTGGTTTTCTACAAAGAAAATATACATTCTCGTCCTTGGTGAAGATTTCATTGGTATTTCTAACACATGGCTAATACGGTGGCACCAATCCTCATAGCTTATAAACAGTAGCATTAGATGTTATATAGCAGTGTAATAAATAAAAAAATAATATCAATGAACATGTTTCACTTAAAAGTTCTCCTTTTTAAAATAAAGAGCACGATGACAAATCAAAATATTCTTGCCAAAGTTTAGGAGGATAAATGGCTCAGAAAGCAAATTAGAAACATTGCACAAGACAGAGAACCTCCCCGTGTGGAAACTCTGAAGAGTGAGCGGAGAGGCCCCAGTGGTGGTTAAGGATGTGCGTATGTTTGACGGAAAAACGCATCTCGCTGTATGTAATCTTTACCTCTGTGGAAGAGCAAAGTGTGCCATTTTAAATGAAAAAAAGATTTACTTGTGTGTATACTTCAGGTATGGAATAAAAGATAAATATGAAGGAGTATCCACACGAGGAATAAACACACAATAAATTACTTGCCTTTTAAACAAGTGGACATATGCAACTTTAGGGAGGGATGGGAGCAATGAATGCCTACTTAAATGTCCAAGCTTAGGCAAAATACGGAAGTTTCAAAATACTAGGTACTGAACTAAAAAGAGTTACCAGGCTCCCTCCAAACCACCTGGATAGTATAATACTTTTTGAGTAAAACAACTACCTTTTCTTATAATTTATTAAAACACTGTTAAGAACTCTTCATGAAAGCTTATACAATTTTTTTTTTCTTTAAAGAAGAAAAAATAACAACATACAGAGAAATAGTCACAGGAATGAAAGGGGTTTATACGGCTGTTCCCTTTTGGGAAACTGGCAGGGCACCCACAGGACAGTGCGGTAGCTGACATGACATATTTGAGAAAGATGGTATCTACCTACAGCTGCATCTTTAGGGAGAACGTCTCGTGGATTTCATTAGAGAACTTGTCAGCAAAAGAAGTGGGGACTAATCTCCCCTTTGGGGTTCAGCTGCTCTGGTTCTATGTATAAACATGAACTGAAATCAAAGTTGTTTCTCTGTTTCCTGCATGAAATATATTTGTAAAGTATACAATGAAAGTAATAAAAAGATGGAAAGAACAAACTACCAATTTGATACAATTCTGGAGATACCATATTTTTAGAGGAACCTTCTACACAACGAAAAGTGCTAAGGGCAGGGAAATGATCGTACACCAAGATGCACTGGTCTCCCCACAATTACATCCAACCTAAATCTACACAAACATGTTTCAGTTGTCAAGGTGATGTTCCTCTTTAAGCTTTTCAATGTAGTGGCACAGCTTCACAGCCATCCCCAGCTTAAGCCCCATGTATTTTGTCATCATGTCAATCGTGAGTAGTAGCAGAGCTTTTCCATCAATGTCCTACACAGAGAAGGAAAGTATAATAATTAGTAATGCTTCCATAGTTTATCAGAAGGGCTATTTCTTTGTATGTAAGAACATGTAAACACCTATTACAGAGCAGTTCACTACAGATGTATTCTGAATCTGCGTCTGCTTGATAAAGACTGCTAAAAATCTGTAATTTTATTCATTAGGAAACACTATAAAAATATTACTTGGGAGTCACAAGGCACCCTACTAAATTTCTTTATCATATTAATTGACCAAGTGGTGCCACTGAATCATGTGATTTGGATTTCACCAGTTCTGAGTTAAAGACAAAACTGCAGAAACATAAATCACTGTCTGAAGAGACCTGACTTCCCTTAAAGTACTACCTTTGTCAGGCAGCTTCCATACGTTTCCTACTAACTAAAGCCAGAATTTCAAGAAATTAGAACTTGTAAAAATTAAGGCCACGATGTTACTTTGTAAATAGTCTGAGAGTATCAGCATCCCAATTTGTCGATAACCGTATAAGGTTCACGGAACCGAGCCAAACGGAATCCGCTGCTGGATTCACCGGGTGCCATTAACGAGGAGGACACCCTGTCACAGCTTGCGGTCACCCCCTCCCACGCACGGTCCTGGGGCCGAGCAGGGAGCAGGTGGGAAGGAGGATCCTTGTAGCTGCTGTTACAAGGAGAAGACACCCGAGAGCGGCTATGCCAAATCCCCTTCTCTGGAGAACTTGAAGGCTTATAGGATTTTAGGTATGCAGGCAGGCACCCGCTTAAAGCACAGATCCAGCCTCCACCGTTTAAGGATCTAGCCCTGGGAAAAGCAAGGTTTCTCACAAATGGAAAAATCAGTTGGTAGGGCTCCCCCACCATCCACACTAAGGAGCATCCAAGTGAAGGGCCTGCGCACAGGTCATTCAAAGACATTACGGCAGGAAAACCAGATCAAAAGATGCACTGGTCTCTCCAACATTACATGTTCCCTGAAGCTGTCAGCGAGGAGGCCTGAAATCTGAGGATCTTTTTGTTTCAGGAGCAGGATCACATCTTCCACGGACCAAGATTCAGGGTCATCAGAGAAGCTTCGCTGCAGCATATCCGAGCCAGCTCTAACTGGTGGTGCACCTGTAGCTTCAAAGGGGGGAAAGGAAGACAAATCAAACCTGACCTGATCTTTATCCTGAAAGAAGAGATGTTAGGTAGGGAGCAATGGTCTCTTTCCCGAACCTTCAGGACCAGGAGTCCGTGTAAATCCAGTGGAAGCCTAGGTGAGCACAGCCTGAGGGCGGCTACCCAAGAGCATCCCCTCTGACCTTCTGCAAACAGCAAGAACAGCTTCAGAAGCTGCCTCACAGCTTCAAAGATCATAAAACAGACTGAGCAGTCCGAGGCCTCTTGGGACACAGGCACATCCAGCAAAAGACCTGATCGTCGGGCTAAATTAGGTTAATCTAAGCTAACCTACTACTCACTACTTATTTCAATGAATTTCTCTCAATCTCTCTCCTCTGCTCGGTCCAGATTATGGTTTTTACTAGCGAAATAGAATGGAAATCCCCAAAATGTAGTTTTACAACTGCTTACATTTATTCACTTCAATCAATGAATTTCAAAAATCCCATTATCTTTGAGAACCAAATTAGCTCTTTTACTGGATCTCTCCCAGGTATTTAACATGGATTATTTCTTGCCCCACTTTATGTTTTGAATTCCTGTCTCTTAAGGCTTAAGTGCTTATCTGAAGTTTGAAGAAAACAAGGTTACTCTGCTTAGCTATCTTAGAAGTAACTTTAATATTACATTTGATGACCTCCTTCAAGGGGAACTGCAGTGCAACAGATACCTTGGTTGAAGGTTGTTTAATACAGAAATGGCTGAGACAGGAGACAGCCCAAGTGCTCAGACCTCACAGAGTGTTAGCTGTGCCGTTCGAGTTGTGCTGAAACTGCTTTGTGCCTAAACAGGTATCCATTTACTCCACCGCAGCACTCGACCCTCTACAGTTAGCGCGGGATAACCAAAGGGAGTCTTGCAACTCACTAGGAAGATCTGTTTCTCTAGCCAGGGACTGTCGGCACAAATTTGGTCTTTGTTACGTGTGAGCTGGCCAGAGGTGTACTTTTTCTTTTGTATCTCTGGCCATTTCAGGAGCATTTTGAGTATTTTCCGAGGGATGGGCAAAGAAAAACATAAGAGTAAAGAACTCACAGTGGGGTCACTATGAGTATTAGTGGAGAAGAGGCATGACAACTGATTAGCACAGTAGCTGGCATGTAGTATACACTCAGTAAATGTCAGTCATCAGTATGAGTATCCCGCAAAATCAACCCTCAAAATAGGAAAGAAATAGCTTCCACGAGCTTATATCAAGAATCTTGAGAACTACAGGTTAAGTAGTGCTATATGTCACGGGTAACATCTCGTACTCCCCGAAGGTGGGTGGGATGCCAAAAGATGCAGTGCGTTCGAAGTTCTTACCCTCCATTAGAGTGTGGTAAGTCATCATCTCAGGGTTCTGTGCCACACTGGCCTTACCTTGTATTGGTTGGGCTGCACACACCACTGTGGGAAATCCAGCAGACTGGGGAAGTTTATTGGTGCTGTGGGCCCCTGGGTTGGGAGAGCAGGGCCTGGAAATGGTGTCATCTGGTGTATCATCGCAGCCAATACTGAGCTGAGAGGAATCTGCGGTAGTGTCGGAGGGAGCGGGGGTACTCTGGTTTAAGCTCAGCAGCCGCTCCGGTTCCCACTCCACTTTCTTATGCTCCTCCTGTATCAGTCTCTGCCCCTTATAGATTAACTCTGGATCCTGCTCACAGAACTCATTTGAGCAAAACGATGTTGCAACAATGTTGCTGTTGAAATCATTTCCCAGCTTTATTACTGACAAAGTTGAGCTATAACTTTGAGAGTAAGAATCTCCATTATATGATTCCCTTCTCTTCAGTCTCTTCAGTTTCATGTTTTTGGAAAACAGGTATTTATAACATTTGTATCCATATCGAAGTGACTTCTGAAATGACACAAAGCCAGTATAAAAAACCGACTGTGCATGAGTAAAAAGGAAAGAAACAGTAAATATATTAACATTTAGTTTTCACGTAACGTTGCTTTATGTTGTTAAAGATTAATGTTCTATTTTGATTCCTTTTATCTCTCCTCAATGCTACGTTTTAATGTCATTTTATATATTAAGGTTACAAACATAAAAATACCCATTTTCATTCTTTCTCAAAACTAAACTTTAGCATTTTTCCAACATAGGAAAAGTTTCTCATTTGCTGCTACAGCAAGTGATGCTGGACCCTTATTAGTTCTCTCGCTTCTGATTGGCATCTTTACAAACCAGAGGCTTATTATAGTTGTGAAAATATTTTTATAACACTTACGCGATTTAGCCAAATTGATTTCGCATGAGAACGGTTGATTTTTGAAATCTTTTTGTGAATAACATCAAACTTCTGATCCAGGTTTTGAATGGCATCATAGATGGCCTATTATAATACAAACTATTAGTAGTTCCTCTTTCAAAAGAAAAGGAACATTTAAGAAAATACCAACAAGCCAAATTTTGACTGCTAGAAACAAAGAAAGCTCTCAAGCCATCGGTTTCCTACTTGATGCCCAGTTGTGGGTGACACAGAGCCCAGCGGACTGAGATAAGCCCACTGCCTACTCAGTTACTCCACGTCCCACGGGCATTTTAAGAAGCGTTAATATCGGGAAGCAGTCATGCCCCAGTTCCTGTGAGCCACCACATTTATGAGGAAGCCATTTTACACCAAGGAAGGTGCATTTTAGGAAAGAAACTTTCAAATCTGCCAAAAGGCCAGAGAGGCTCTTTGCACATAAGGACGGTAGCAGCTAACAGGCAGTGAGCGGGCCACTCTGGAAAGAACGGGGGGCCAAATATAAGAGCTGTGACTCCTGGCCTCAAAGGGTTTTAAGATGATACACTCAACAGTGAGCCTTACAAAACCTGTGAGTACACATGGCCTATATGCCAACCAGCTATGGGACTGCCCAAACCTGACAGTTCTTGAAATACATAGAGATCTCATTGCAGCAAAAATATATACTTTAATAAGAGGTCAGGACCATTTCCTCATTTCTTCATTCATTCACTCAAATAAACATTTATGGAAGGCCTACTACCCGCCAGGACTACTTTGCTAGGTGCTGGAAACGCAGACGTAAAGAACAAAAACAAAAACAAAAACAACCGGCTCCTGCCCGAAGGAACTCTCTTTTTAGCTGGAGAGACAGTGTTAGTAGAGAGAGTGATTAGCAGCCTGGAGCTGTGGTTCTCAAGTGTGGTCCATGGACCAGGAGAGGGCCTGACTAGAGTGCAGCCGACGCTCCGCCCCCCGCTTCCCAGCCCAGACCAGGCAGGGCTTTTCCTCACCAGGAGGCTGGGCAAGGCCAGAAAAAGCCCAGATGCCAGCGCTGCACCAGGGGTCTAGTCCCGTAAGGCAAGGAGGTGAAGAAAGGAGAGAGCCAGCACCTAGCAGAGCCGGAGAGGACCCCTCATGGCCCACTTCGGGGCTGCCACACGGGCCCCAGGCATTTCTCACCCTGCAGGCTCTCCCCACCACCTCCTCCTGCGTGATGGCTCCCAAGGCCCCACAGCGCAGTGTCCACCCTGGTGTGGGACAGAAGTGGGTGCTTCTGTCCTACAGGCCGTGGACGCCCTGCTGGAAAGGAGACCTCCCCTGCCCCCCAACCCCCCAGCTCCATGCTCTGTATCCCCCTCCCCCCAGAAGCCTGGGTATGTCCCCTTTATGCAGAGCACGCCTGTTCTCTGTAATAATAATGATAAAGACTCACATAAATATTTCCTACTTCTCAAAGGTATTTTAGCCCATTTGACTCAAGAAACTTGGTATGTTAAGGAATAGTTTTTAAAAAATAAACTTTCATTCCCTCTAGGGTCTGCAACTCACCAAGCCCTTGGTAATACACACTGCCACCAGACTCTACCAAATTCTAATTTTTACAAAATCCTCTCAAAATTAAGCAACATGCACTAAGTAAAAAACACTGGGGGGTGACATTTTGTTTCATTTGAGCTGTCATGGCATGCACTTAGGCTCGTAGTATATTTTATCTAACTCAATTTCCTTTAAAGATTATTTTTAGGGGAAAAAAATTGAATATTGAGCAATCTAGATGAAAGAGACATATTTACATTTGACCAGTTAACGGGTTTTTAAAAAGGTATAAAAAATCTACATATTGGTATTTCACAATTTTTACCTCTAAATATTATTCTAAGGAGAAATTGTTAAAAATCATCACAATGGTTGAATAATAATATTAGGTTAATTTCAATTATCAGCAACAGCAAAATTTCAATTAATTGTACACTTTCTCTTCATAAGAAAAAGAGTTTTAGCTTAATATTCTGGAAATCTACAGGAGAGAGAGCACTTTTGTACCTGGCAGTAAGTGATAACGTCCTGAGTTGTTTTTTCTTGTTCTTCCATTTTGAATGTTTCCGAATGAACACTCTCCTGCTAATAGTTTAAAAGTTAAGTAGTTAATGCTGTACTTTTGCAAGAACCAAACCAAACACTAGGAGAAAACAGCCACTTTATATATATTTATTTAAATTGGTTTTATTTTTACCAATTTTTCAAAGGGTTTCAGAAGTCTTCATCTAAAATAGAGACAAAGTAAAAACCATTAATAGGAGAATGAAAATGTAACTGCTAATGGAGTGAGGAAGAAAAGATTTATTGCATGAGAAGGACAGAAGTTGAGAGTTTTGTACTAAAAATGAGTATAAACTGCTCTAAACTTCATACCAGATAAGGAATATAGGGAAATAGAAATTTCATTAGAAAGTGATTAGCCGCTTAGAGGTGGGTTTCTCAAAGCATGGCCTGTAGACCATCAGCATCAACATTACCTACTTGGCTTGTTGGGAAAGCAAAATGTCCCACTCTCGACTACAGAACTGAGAACTCGGAGACTAGAGGCAGCTCTGTAATCAAAAGCCTTCCACCTGATCTTGATGCATGCTCATGTGTGAGACCCCCTGGCCTCGAGCAATGAGGTACACAGTGCAGGCTCTAGGATTCAGTGCTCATTGTCTAATGAATGGAAGCAAACAAATTCAGAACAGACTAATATTTTCTTGAGTATGAATTTAGAGGAACTCTATAGTATATGAAGAATTTAAATATTTCCCTTTAATATGGTTATGTGTTAATATACTTGACAAATGGCAATTAACATTACTTACTTTATTGACACATGCAGTATTTGGTTCATATGCATACAGAACAGTATCATCACTGTCAGAAGCAGGTATTTGTGTTCTTATCTATGGAAGATTTATTAGCAAATAAAAGGAAAGATAAAAGAACTGAAAGAAAAATTGAGGACTTCAATTTCACTTTCAAGAAGATTCAAAGGCCTATTTGTGATACCAAAGGACCTTTGTCCATTGTAAATGCTAAGAGTATCTGAAAAGATGTGCCTGCCAAACTGTTTTCCCACATAACCCAAGTACACTATGACATCATTTTCCACTGAGTTTACCCTCCTGTGTACTGCAGAGTAGAAAGACTAGTAACCTGGCACCAGAACTGAGTAAAAGCAGTATTTCTAACCACAAAGAACTGTGTAACACAGCTTTTGATTTATATTCCAATAATGCCAATGAGTGGATAAAACAAGAAACACTTAAGCACCTGTTTTTCTTGATAAATTAATCTCTAAATCACCTTGAAATATTTTTTTTGTAATGGGATGGGATATGAATAAATAAGTAGAAAGTAACCATTCAATTTCATCTAATAACTCCTTATTCTAAGAATGAATTATGAGTTTCAGGAATAATTTCAAAGTAAACATATTTAGAATGTCTTTGTTTCAAGAGACATAACCAAAATACTGTGGAATTGGGCTACAGATTAGTACCTATAAAAATATGCTATCTTATCCTGGCATAGTGCCTTATGCTCTTCAAACTGCTTTCATACAATTTGTCAGAAAAAAACGACTCTTGCTAGGCAGTTAACATTATCTCCAAAGATGAAAAATACTGGGGCTGAGAAAAGTTAAGATAATTTGCCTATACCACTTAGGTGGCAATATCCACATTCTTATGCAAGTAAGAAGTGTGTTTCCTGTTAAGCCAAATTATATATAGTTTAATAAACTCTTTTTTATTCAGTTTCAAGGACAAAGAAACAGAAGAAAGTAACAGAAATGTGGAGTAGCACAACTGTTCTGAAAAACTCTTGGGCAGATTCTCATAAAGTTACATCAACTTTACAACCTAGCAATTCAACTCTTGAGTATTTACCCAAAAGAGATGTTAGCACCTGTTCACAAACTGTATATAAATGTTCACAGCAGTTTTATATATCACTGCCAAAACTAATGAACCGTAGATGTAGGATCTCTGCATTTCACTACATGAAATTAAATTTAACTTAGAAAAGATATATAGCACAATGAGAAGAATAACGATTTTCAATTTGAAATACAAACCACATCGACTTCACTGAAGCTGCTAGACATTTTGTGAAACAGGAGAAACTCCACGTCCTCTGAGTTGGGCCTAATTATTTTTAAACTTGCTGGAGGATTTATTTGTGAAACTGCTTGGTCACCTAGGACAGGCAAACGTTCTACTCCTGAAAAGCAATGCACAAAAAAGTCACTTCACACACCTACTACTTTAATAATATGGATATGTTCTCAGAACGCCAACTAAAATTGAATTGGAGTCCTGGCTGAATTTTAAAGAATGACAAAACAAGAAGGTTTAACCTAGTGATTTAGAATAACTCTTTAAAAGTTGAAGGGCTACACCACCCATGCCTAGGAATAAGAATCAAGGTCGAACACAAGTCCAAATTGTGAAGTGTATCTTTCACATCTTAAAGGCTACAGAGTAAATGCTGGGACACACAGAACGAGAGAGCAGGCTTCCTGAATGCTTTTGTAAAGGAGCCCAAAAAGGCTTTAAACTTATGGAGGTGGCAAGCCTCTGAAAGTGAGTCTGAGGTCTATTCTGACCTGTGCCCTCACTGTAGGACGGACTAGGCAGAGCACTAAAGATGCTGTGCCCTCCGCTGCCAGGTGAGAGCTGCTGAGATGATCTCTAAGGTCATTTCAGCTCTAAGGTTATGACTGCTTCTGCAGTTAAAAGTGATATTATGTAAATAAATGTATGTGAAATATAAGCTCCCTAATATTCTAGAATTATGTAGGCTTGGTTATAATGCCGTCATTGAACTCTACAACTAGAAAAAGACACGGAGTGCAATGTTATAACATTATGTCTTGTAGTAGATTTGAACCCTGTCATAGCAATACTGGGAGGGGGTGTGTTAAATGAGAAAGCTAACTCCCTTTATTAATCCCCAGTGAGGGCAAAAATGAATTACCTCAGCTGGAGGAAAAGATGACAACATGAGTAGGGTGGCAGAAATCTCCTCCAAAAACCATATATATTTTGAAAATATAGCAAATACAACTATTCCTGAAAGATGACCAGAAGATACAGTACACCAGCCAGTCTACATCTGCGAGAACCCAACATCTCACGTTAAAGGTTAAAGTACAAAGCCATGACCCGGTAGGACCTGAGCACCCCTCCCTGACCCCAGCTCACTGGGGGGAGGAAAAGAATCAGAGTGGGGAGGGGGTGGAAGCACAGGACTGCTAAATAACCAGCCCTAGTAATCTGCCCCAGGAGCACAGACACACATTACATGTTGCTATGGATATTTGAGGAGCAGAAAAGCAAAATCTAACACTAAGACTGCGAACAGGTTCCCACAGCCAGCTGCCCTGGGACAAAAGAAAAGCAGGTGCTTTAAAAGTCTTAAAGGGACAAGGGTTTACAGGTGGACAAAATCGTCATGGCACACTCAGCCCAGCAGGCTGGGAACTTTAAGGAGCTTCAGGCACCCCATCCCCCTGGTTGTCAATGCAGCTCCGAGGCCCCTCACCACAATAAGCAGCCTGCCGGTCCTTCCCTCCCTGCCAGCACCAGCGAGCAAACCAGCTATCCCCACCATTGCTGCAGACCAGCCAGAGAGCAGCCCTGCCTACAGCAACCACACAGCTTAACACAGAGGCTTCACACTACGCATGGCAAACTGGCCCAGATTCAGAGGCTGCTATCTGCATGCGGCTGACCAGAACAGACAGCGGAGAGAGGCGTGGAAACCGAGAGGCACGAAGGGGCTTTGCTCTCGTGGAAGAACACATGCCGCTCACCTGCGAGCCCTGCCAGTGCCCTAGGCCATCGGGAGGGCTGCCCTGCCCATAGCAGCTTAGGGGATTAACCCAGAGGCTGATCCCTGTGCACATTTGACCAGCACAGACAGCCAAGATAGGCAAGGTGACTGGCAAGCAGGAAGGGACTTTGTTCTCCCAGCTGACATACATGCCACTCGCCGGTCACCACTCCCATCACCATGAAAAGGCAGAATAACCTTGCTCATCCAAAGAGCCTCAAACACAAAAAAGAGGGCTCAGTGAGAATGAAATCAACAATTTGCCTGAAAAAGAATTCAAAATAAAAGTCATAAGCATGCTGATGGAGCTACAGAAAAATATTCAAGAGCTAAGGGATGAATTTAGGAGGGAGATAACAGAAATGGAACAATGGAAGGATTTAAGAGCAGACTGGATGAGGTGCAAGATACTGTTAATGGAATAGAAATCAGAGAACAGGAATACAGAGAAGCTGAGGCAAAGAGAGAAAAAAGGATCTCTAGGAATGAAAGAATATTAAGAGAACTGTGTGACCAATTCAAACGTAACAATATTCATATTATAGGGGTACCAGAAGAAGAAGAAGAGAGAAAAAGGGATACAAAGTGTCTTTGAAGAAATAATTGCTGAAAAATTCCCCAATCTGGGGAAGGAAAGTCTCTCAGGCCATGGAAGTCCACAGATCTCCCAACACAAAGTACCCAAGGAGGACAACACCAAGACATATAATAATTAAAATGGCAAAGATCAAAGACAAGGACAGAGTATTAAAAGCAGCCAGAGAGAGAAAAAAGATCACCTACAAAGGAAAACCCATCAGGCTATCATCAGACTTCTCAGCAGAAACCTTATAGGCCAGGAGGGAATGGCATGATAAATTCACTGCAATAAAACAGAATGGACTCAAACCAAGAATACTGTATCCAGCAAGATTATCATTTAAATTTGGAGAAAGGATTAAACAATTCCCAGATAAGCAAAAGTTGAGGGAATTTAATTCCCACAAATCATCTCTACAGTGTATTTAAAGGGAATGCTACAGATGGAAGTATGCCTAAGGTTAACTACCTGTCACCAGAGAAAATAAAACCACAGCAAAGGAAGCAGACCAACTAAATACTATCTAAATGCAAAATTAAATCTGCTATCCACAAATTCAGTCAAGGAAAACACAAAGAGTACAGAATAAGATACCTAACATATAAAGAGTGGAGGAGGAAGAAAAAGAAGGGAGAGAAATAAAGAATCATCAGACTGTGTTTATAATAGCATAATTAGTGAGTTAAGTTAGACAGTGAGATAGTAAAGAAGCTGCCCTTGAACCTTTAGTAACCACAAATCCAAAGCCTGCAATGGCAATAAGTAAATATCTTTTGATAATCACCCTAAATGTAAATAGACTGAATGCACCAATGAAAAGACACAGACTTAGAGAATGGATAAAAAAGTGAGACCCATCTATATGCTGCCTACAAGAGACTCACTTAAAACCCAAAGACATACACAGACTAAAAGTGAAGGGATGGAAAATGATATTTCATGCAAACAATAGGGAGAAAAAGTAGGTGTTGCAGTACTTGCTTAGACAAAATAGACTTCAAAATAAACAAAGTAACAAGAGACAAAGAAGGACATTACATAATGATAAGGGGGCCAGTCCAACAAGAAAATATAATCATTATAAATATCAATGCAGAAACACAGGAGCACCTAAATATGTGAAACAAATACTAACAGAATTAAAGGAGGAAATAGAATGCAATGCATTCATTTTAGGAGATTTCAACACACCACTCACTCCAAAGGATAGAGCAACCAGACAGAAAATAAGTAAGGATACAGAGGCACTGAACAACACGTCAGAACAGATGGACCTAACAGACATCTACAGAACATTCCACCCAAAGGCAGCAGGATATACATGCTTCTCAAGTGCACATGGAACATTTTCCAGAATAGACCACATACTAGGCCACAAAAAGAGCCTCAGCAAATTCAAAAAGACTGAAACTGTACCAACCAATGTCTCAGATCACAAAGGTATAAAAGTAGAAATAAATTGTACAAAGAAAACAAAAAGGCTTACAAACACATGGAGGCTTAACAACATGCTCCTAAATATGACCAAATTAAAACAGAGATAAGCCATATATGGAGACAAATGAAAACAACACCACAATGCCCCAATTTCCGTGGGACGCAGTGAAGGGGTAGTTTTAAGAAGAAAGTATAGAGCAATCCAGGCTATTTAAAGAAGGAAGAACAATCCCAAATGAACAGTCTAAATTCACAATTATTGAAACTGGAAAAAGAAGAACAAATGAGGCCCAAAGTCACTAGAAGAAGGGACATAATAAAGATCAGGTAATAAATAAATAAAATTGAAAAGAATAAAACCATAGAAAAAATTAATGAAACCAAGAGCTGGTTCTTTGAGAAAATAAACACAATGGATAATCCCCTAGCCAGACTTAAAAGAAAAAGGAGACTCTACACACATTAACAGAATCAGAAATAAGAAAGGAAAAATCACTACGGACATGACAGAAATACAAAGAATTATTAGAGAATACTATGAAATACTATATGCTAACAAACTGGATAAACTAGAAGAAATGGACAACTTTCTAGAACAATACAACCTTCCAAAACTGACCCAGGAAGAAACAGAAATCTAAACAGACCAATTACCAGCAATGCAATTGAATCAGTAATCAAAACACTACCCCAAAACAAAATTCCCAGACCAGATGGAGTCACTGCTGAATTTTATCAGACATTTAGAAAAGACATAATACCCATTCTCCTTAAAGTTTTCCAAAAAACAGAAGAGGAGGGAATCCTTCCAAACTCATTTTATGAAACCAGCATC